CAGTAGAAGAGTATGGAGAAGCCCAAAATAGATCCACATAAATATGCCTACTTGGTTATTGACAAATAAGCAAAAGTAATTTAAGGGAAGAGGAATAGCTTTTTCAATCTTATTGCTGGAGGGACTGGGCATCTGTAGACATAAAAAAAAAAACCTCGACCCAAACCTTATACCTTACAAAATAATGAACTCAAAATAGATCATAGTCTTTAATATAAAACATAAAACTGTAAAATGTCTAGTAAAAGACAGAATAAAATCTCCAGACCTAACACAAGGCCAAGAGCATTGACACCAAGAGCATTTATGCAAAAAGGGAAAACTTGATAAACTGGACTTCATCATACCAAGAAATACTACTCAGCACTGAAAAGGAGTGAACCATTGATGCATGCAATACCTTGGATGGATCACAGTGTAATTATATTGAGTGGAATCAGTCAGTCTCAAAAAAATATATATATATAAAATGTATGAGTCCATGTGTATGAAATTTATAAAATATAATTACAAAGATGGAGAATAGTTTAGTGGTTGGCAGGGTTAGGGAGGGGCTGAATGTGGCTATGAAGTGTTATCGTAATGATACAGGTAAGTGTCTTGATTACAGTATGCTTACATAAGACTATACATGATAAAATTGTATAGGCACACACACACAGATGCGTGCATGTATAGCTGGTGAAATTTCTGTGATTTGTGTCAGTATTGGTTTCCTGGCTTTGATAGTGAACTATAGTTATGCAAGATGATAAAATTGGGAGAGGCTGTGTGAGGAATGCATGGGACCTCCCTGTGCATTTTGTTTCACCTTTCTGTGAATCTGTATAATATTTACAACTACAAAGTTTAAAAAAAAAAATTTCTAAGTGGCTGGGCACAGTTGCTCACGCCTGTAATCCTAGCACACTGGGAGGCTGAGGTGGGAGGATCACTCGAGGTCAGGAGTTCGAGACCAGCCTGAGCAAGAGCGAGACCCTGTCTCTACGAAAAAATATAAAGAAATTATCTGGACAACTAAAAATATATAGAAAAAATTAGCTGGGCGTGGTGGTGCATGCCTATAGTCCCAGCTACTCGGGAGGCTGAGGCAGAAGGATTGCTTGAGCCCAGGAGTTTGAGGGTGCTGTGAGCTAGGCTGACGCCACAGCACTCTAGCCCAGGCAACAGAGCGAGACTGTCTCCAAAAAAAAAAAAAAAATTTCTAAGTAACTCAAATTCTTACATAATATTTCTCAAATTACCACGAAAGGAAGATGTAGTCTATAGCCATACCCAGTTTACCACCACCCACTCTCCTATAACTTTGTAGTTACTCTCATATGTCTTTTCAGAATTCATGTTACATATTTGCCTAGTGCTGCTTATTTCTTATTTTCCTTCACTTTCCCAACCTTCTGACCTCTGTATATCCCCAAAGCTCAAATAACTGATAAGCTAATGCAAGGACCTCCTTGAAAGGGGGAAGAAAATGAGCAAGAGCCTTTTGTCGAGCTGGAAGAGAAGAATGGCAGGGCATGCGTATACAGTAATACTTTTTTGTTCCGGCACACTCATGAAGTAGGTAGGTGGTAATATGCTCACACTCAGAGCAAGTTTAAGTAATTTTGCTTAAGGTCAGTGGTATTTATATGGCATTGGCAGAAACATGAACTGACAGACTTCAGAGTCTGTAGTCCATGTTCATAACTGTCGCATGCCGCGTTTCCACCATTATGATGCACTCTGATGAGTGCTTCTATGAGAGGTATATTTAAAGGTTGGATGGTGGGTCAGAGGAGGCACACTTAACTCACTGGAGAAGGCTTTAGCAAGGCTGTCCGTGGGTGATATGTGTGATTCAATTTTTGGAAGATAAGTAGAGTTAGCCATCTTAAGGTGATGAATGAGATCGTGACCCATAAACCATAAGCAGTTGTCATGGCTGGAATGTAGGATTTATGTTTGAGAAGTGGAGAGATGAAACTAGATCACAAATGGCCTTACCTGCCATTCAACAGAATGTGGATTAAAGTGTGAAGATAATGGGAACCATCGAAGGGTTTATGTGGGGTTTGATCTGAAAGAATTTTAGAAAGGTTACTCGGAGTGCATTGTAAAGAATAGACTGGGAAGATGGGAGACTAAAGGTAAGATAAGTTAGGAAGCTCTTGGGGCAGGCGAGAAAAAAAGTTAGCAAGCTCTTTTGGAAATTTATGAGTCAAGAGAACCCGAGCCAAGGCAGAAAATAGAAGCATATAGAGTTATCAGGAGATAGAACTTGTAATTTGGCGTTCATTTTAATAGGGTAGGTAAGAGAGAGGCAAAGGTAACTCCCAGCTTGCTGACTGGGGTGGCTGATCTTGATCAAGAACTAAGCTAGGAGTAAGATTGTGCGTAAACAGAACGATGAAGTCAGATTAATAAACGGTTCGAGGCAGCTTTGCTGCTTAAGAGTGGAGTTGCCCAGGTGTCAGTTCATCATACACGGGAGTCTGTAGCTCAAGAGAAGGGGGCTACCAGGCTGGTTTAGATTTGGGAATTGGCAACACATGGTAAAGTCTGGAATGAGAAGAGAAAGGGGAGCAGAAAATAAAACTCCAGAAAATACTGACATTTATCAATGATCCAAGGAAGGGAAAAGCCTGTGAAAAATGGTGATGATGGGAAGAACCAAGGAGGGGGACCATCATAAATAGTGAAAGAGAAGAGAGACATTTTTAAAAATCGGTGAATTATGGTACATTTATATAGGGGAATGTTATGAACAGTATATAGTCATATAAGGATCATGTATTTAAGGAATACTGAATGAATGTGGGAAGAGACTCAGGATATAATTTTAAAAAGTCAGGATAACTGTAGTAAAATCCCAGTTTTGTAACAATAAACATGAATGTGTTTATACGTATGCATAGAAGGAAATTTAGAAGACAGTACCTTAAAATTTTAAGTTTCTCTGGTGACAGAATCCTGTTTCACATTTCTTTATTTTATAAATTTTCCATAATGAACGTATATTATTTGTTGTGAGAGAAAAAATACATATATAAATTAAGTGGATTCAGTCAAAACTAATTTCTAGAGGAAATGTTAAGTGCAAAAATTGCTCAAAAGGGTCCATTTGACTTATGAACTAGGAGGTCATTGGTGACCTCAGAAAATTTTCAGAGTCATAATGGGATCAGAAACTAGGGTTAAAAAAAGAATGGAAAGCAGAAAATGGAGATGATGAATATAAAAA